GGTACAAATCTGTGTTTTCTACGTTCGCGCCTCCAACAGGTAACCAAATGGCGCCAGCGCGTTGAAAAATTTTAGGGGACCCACTCGTCGTCGCATGCATACTTTTTACAAATATCATATTTCCACCCGCTGCATAGATTACAACTATGGTTCACCGCTCCACAATTCCATGGCAAACGTTCTCGGTAGCAGTTTCGCTTCTCATATTTATGACAAGCATTCAAGGCTCTATCGATTTACTTAGGTCCTGGTTCAAAGTTCCATGGTGAAATTGGAACACTATTTACTGTACGTATAGGCCGATGTCAGACTTTGCGAATCGCGCGATTCGCTAGCGTCTGCGGTCGCGTCGCGGCCAGTGAATCACTCAATTGGCTGGTACCGCAACGCGACCGCGGACGCTAGCGAATCGCGCGAATCGCTAGTAGCGAATCGCGCGATTCGCAAAGTCTGACATCGGCCTAAGAGGAATGGATGTCAAGTCTTAGATAACGCCCTATTGTACAGATCTGGTATTAGTGAATAATACTCGGATTACTTGAAAACGACAACAACAGTCCTTTTACACTTTTCGGCCGAGCTATCCCTCTTTGGCTGCGTCACAATCTGATCCCAAGCTCAGAGAACACTTTAGCACATTGACCTACACCTCGCTCTTCGGGTATCTTTAGCAATTTTCGATATCTTTTACGAAAGCGCTTTTACCCATTCGCAACAAAGCTCAAACCCTATGTCATTATACGCTGTTTGGGTCATCGTGAACCTCCTCCACACCAAATACCTCTAGTATCTTCAACAACTATATCGACTTGTGATTTCCAATGGAATACAACAAGGGCGAAAAGGGCTGAGGAAGCTGAGAAACTGCTTAAATATTCAATTGTCCTCATTTCGAGTGATCTTTGTAGCCGTAAAGAAGAAGTGAGGCGCTTGTGGGCACGTCATTATAATTCGTGATTCTGAAAGGGTGTAGATGTATTCGGCATCTTTCGTATTTCACACTGCTTCTGTGCATTATCGGATCGGAAACCAGTAGATCACTTACCCTCCTGACGAATTGTGCGAGATGTGGTAAGCGATTACGTAAAAAATATCGAAAATTGTTAGGATACACGAAGAGCGAGGTATAGGTCAATGTGCTAAAGTGTCCTCTGAGCTTAGGATCAGATTGTGACGCAGCCAAGAGGGATAGCACGGGCGAGGGCCGAAGAGTGTAAAAGGACTGTTGTTGTCGCTTCCAATAATCCGTGTATTATTTACTAATACCAGATCTGTACAAGAGAGCTATATTCGAGACTTGGCATCTATTCCTCTCTATGTCTATCCCGATATTCTATTCTTCCTATAATTCTTTCTAGTAAAAAAGTGCTTCCAAATTTCTACTTGAATTTTGATCCAAGACCTAAGTTAATCGATAGAGCCCTGAACGCTGGTCACAAATACAAAAAGCAAAACTGCTACGAGAACTTGCCATGGGAAATGTGAGCGGTGAAGTTGACTTATTGTGCAGCGCGTTGGTATAATGATATTTGCTAAAAGTAGAATGGCCAGAGAAAATATGGCACGATTATGTAACGTCTGTTCTCGCCGCTAGCGCCGTTTAGGACCATTTGGAGACGCAACCTAAATGCAAAATTTATCACACAAGCGAACGAACTTGGATCCCATTAGAGTGGATTTGGTGCACCTTAAGTAAAAGCCCAGATGCACTACGGATCGGTGTTTGTGAATTTGACTCAATTCGTTCGTAATTTTGCCATCGCGGAAGGATATTGAAAGTGGGGCACAGAGCGGCAATGAGGATGAAAAAGCCTTAAATCTGGCATGCCCTAATTTAATATCGCTCGTTAGTTTCCTTTGAGATTCTTTGGGCTGTTGAAGGACAAAAGCGCCATCAGCCCTGTCCAACATCTAAACGATTCCCGCACCAATCGATCTCGTTGCTGATACAGATGATTTGTATCCGACAACTATGTAGTCCTCCTTATTCACTCATCCTACTTTGCGACCTTTGTGAACCTGTCGCCCTCGGACTTTCTGAGGGCTATCGACAAGTAATGTGGGCGGATCGGGACGTTGGTACTGAGATATTTTCTACTGGATCTTGTCTGGGTCGGGACCAGCGTCTCCAGTTTTGTACCTGAGATCGATAGTTCGGTTCTGAGTTCAATAAGTGAAGAAAGAAGAAAAAGATAATCGAAAAAGCAAAGCGCGCTAGGGGAGGGGGATTTTTGTAAAGATGATTTTTTTTTACTCTCGGCACCTTGCATTTTTGCATGTTTCAGGTTTGTCAGTGTGTATTTGTAACGGGGAAATAACTACAATATGTATATCCTACCCACAGCATTACAGATTACGGGTAGAACAACCTGTCCTGAATTGATTTTGATCCTTGGTCGCAGGATTTTCTTCTCGGCGCTATAAATTCTCAGCCAAAGCATTTCGTGGCGTTTTATCGGCTATATTTGTTCGCTCGCAATTATTAAATATGGAAAAAAGAAAAAGTTCGACACTCTTTTACTCTATGCCCTGCAAAGCGTTTGAAAGTTTTCATGCCTGAAAAAAACATTCTGGGTGTGTCCACAGAGCGGTGTGGGAGTGGCCCTCTGGCACGGAGTTTTCTGGAATGGGAAGAATGCATTTGACGCATGACTGGACCATGAAGTTGCGGTATTTTGGCCTCCTATAGTGATTCTCAACGGTAGACGAGAATGAATCGGTAACAGTTCGCAAAAGCTGTTGAAATAATACTTCGAGCAAAATTCTGTGATATTCGAGGAATTTTCCCTAAATCGGTTTTTCGGCAGTTGGTCTAACGAAAAAGAACTCAAAGAAGTTCCCTAGTGCCTAATGGAAAGACCCAATTCAAATGTTTGAAATTTAGACAAAGTTGTCCTTTAATTGCACTGCAATGTTGCTGCAGTACTGATGTGTTTTTCAAGTTCATTTTGGCATTTCAGGAAAAAGTGCAGTCCGCCCATACCCCGTTAACAAACAGCGAAATGTCATCTTCGTAAGAACTCCTTTCGATGTTCTAATTGACGAACTATAATGATTTAATGCGACCTTTGGAAATTTTCTGGCATTTTCCGGTGTTATTTTGGAAGCATACATAGCGCAGTGGCTAAACCAGTCACTGCACTTTTGACAGTTCACCAGGATCGATCTCGATTTCGAGTGTGTTGAACTACTCGTTTTCCTTCTCCTTTTTCTATTAAGTATCATTCCTCTATTGATTCACTCGGAAAGGGAACTGTTACCTGAGAGAGGAGCACTTTCTACCCGGACTGCTTAGCCAGTTCCAGATCCTTCACGATTCTTTTCACAACGAAATCGAGGAGTAGTTCTTATTCTGAGCTCAAGAGCTCAATAGGGTTTAGAAAAGGAAAAAAGAGCAGAAAAGCTGTTGGCATATTCATGACCATTCTAGGTGCTCATGCCCATGCTGTTTGGGGGAGGGGCATTCAAGTGGATGAGCTATTTCCCTACCTGGGACTAAGCCCTAAGAAGAGAAAGGGATTCTATGGGTGGATGTGAGCGATTTTTGCTCTCCCTGGTGCTTACTCCCTCTCCTAGGCTTGGCTCTAGTGTTACCTTCTAGCTTCCTGAATCCCCTGCTTCAAATATTTCCCCTCTAAGGACGTGAGCGTCTCATTTTAATGGTAAGAAGAGCTACACTGTTGCATTCTTCTGAGTATTTGCATTTCGGTCTGATAAGTTGCTTGCGAGGGCAGTAAAAGTCGGCCCTTGCAAGCAAAAAAGAAAATAAGCGCTAAATAGTCCATCGACAGAGCTTGATGAGACTCGGGTGGAGGTTTATTTCAAGATCCGATCCACGGTCCACATGAATCAGCTGTCATTATCCCTATTATTCATATTCGTCCTTGGAGCTTGATAGAATTTCAAAAAATATTGGATCTTTAGCAGGCACGGGAGGTGCTCTTAAGGGTGTAATCATGGTCATCACTTACTACAGAAGTGCATTGCACAAATCTTCACTGAGTGTTCAGTAGAATTTGGAAGCAATGTCTTGTTAAAAATAGCCAGCCAGCATGGGTTGATCTGTTCTGACTGGAAACACGTAGCCTTTTGATTGAATAAATTTCACAAGCTGGTTTTCTATCTCTTCCATGCACTACACGTTCGTCAAGATGCAAATAGACCACCCGTATTTCGTGGGAAAAAAGCGTCAATCTCAATCGTTGCCTACAAAGAGATTCTGAGAGATTCTCCCGTTTTGATGATATATGTATGTTTTCAGTCTTCTGCGCTATTTCCACCATTCAATCATTTTTCCCAGATATACAGTAGCACTGGTGATTGTCTTGAGATGTACAAAGGGCTTGATGAAGGTTTTTTGCTGATTTGAAGGATTTTCACAAGGTCGGTCCGATCGATCGATGGCGACCAGCAGTGACCACAATATCGAGAAATCGTTGATCATTTTTCTTCCTTTACCAGTTCTTGGTTGATTTTACCGAATGATTGAAAATGTGAAAGCGGGCAATAAACGCGATTACGTCTTTTGTTGTAGTGAGCAAAAAGGGTATCCGACAGGAGGCCCGTCACGCGGCGAGAAGGCAGAGACGCAGACGGGTCGACGGACCAGTCGCAGCGCGTAGTATACGATGTAGGACGCACTATAGTACATTCCATTGAACTGACGTCGGTCTGGGTTGACCAAACATGTATTAAAAGTACCGCGACGAAGATAAGTCAAATGGAAGTAAGTAAATGGAAGGTAAATGCACGGCGCATCTCGACGCGGATCTTAACGTCGTGCGCTTATCTTTTTCTCCCTATCAACCATTGACGCATTTCTTGGCCATTGAAAAGACTATCGAGCCGGAACCTACATTTCGCTCCTCTGCACCCTTTATCAGCGCTAATCTTACGAATGCTTTTTCAAGCACCAAAAATAGACTAGCCCTTATCGTTGCTTATTGATTTTTTCATGGCGAAACAGCGCCCGAACACTTCCTACATGAGTGGAATCAGTTATGGGCTCATTATCACTGTGCTCATGTTTCAAGGCCCGTACGATCTCGACCGTCTCACGACCGATGCTACAGTCATCGCAGGACATCTCTGATAATGACTATGAAGATGATGCGCCAACACAATTAGTGAGCGATGAACCCACACTCAGCAAAGAGGAGCAAGAACGAATACGGTAGGTGAAAAGCGTTACGACATAGGGCGCTTTCTGCCAATTTTTTCATTTGTTTTATTTGTTTTTGAATTTTTCTTTGAAGCGAGTGTGACTGTCTTGTCAACCGTTAGTTTTTTTATTGCATGAAGTTTGGTCTTTGTTTCAGCTCAGATTCCCAAACTTCACTGGCGCACCTCGGAAGCTGGAGCTGGCGGCCCTGGCTTTGACCCGAACTAATTTTATTTGTTCTTAATAGGTGAACGAATACCTACTGATTTGTATTGCTAACTGAAAATTGCAGAGGTGTGCTCGTTGCTTCGCCGTGTCGGGTGGTTCTGTGGGCGAGTTTGCTTTCAAGCGAGGGGGATTGGAAAGTTGTTGGAGAGAATTTCAAGGCAACGGTCTTCTAGCATGATCATGAAATCAACTATCTGACCCTTATTCCCAATGAATGCCATCGAAAGCTTCCGCGCTTCAGCTTATCACGCTAATGTTTTCAAGTTACGCGACCTTGTTTCCGAACAGCTTCTTCTGTCAGAGGAATGGACCTAGTTTAAAAAAAGCACCAATGGCTTCCTTCTGGAGATCGTGACCCCGACCCGAAATGAGGGCACATTCTCACAACTGACTATTGGCACGTTATTATGTGTGAAAATGAAAACTTATAAAGTAATTCTTGACCCAAAACTTTCCCTGATGAACATTTTGGAACTGCTGTAGGAGGATTAGCAGTTCTTGTTTGTTTTTGCGCACGGCGTGGTCTCCTGGCTGCGCAACGTCTGTGGGGTCATCTCAGGCTGCTATCTTCCAACAATGAGTCACTAACGAAGAATCCTCATAGAGGAGGTGCTTTCTCCGGGAGAGAGGTGCTTAAACTTTCTTGGAGAAATCGACTTGAAAGAGGAAATGAGAAACCTTGGAAATTTTTATGGAAATTCCGAGGCTCGTATTCTGTTCTTATTCTACATGTACGTAACCCTATTGTCCGTACCGACCATTTCATGGCGTAAATTTCAGGCCATAGGTTGCGTTGTGGTAATAGCAAGAGTATGTAATGGGCAGTAGGACACTGAATGCACTTGATGAGTAGGAGATCTTGAACTTGATCACTTTGAGAGAGTTAATGTGTTATGGTAAGGTTCTCCAACTGGGAGGTTAGCTCATTGAGGAAGGTGTCTTAAAGCTAATAGCTTCGATTATATTTTGCCTGCTGTGAGGTGCTTCAACACAAATCCGGGCATGTTCCTCTGATATGGTCTCCTTCCTTAGGGATTTTTTGGGATGATCATCAAATTGCGAATTTTCGTACCCTCTTCGCGAGAACGGCAAAAGCGTCGGGTACAGACCATACACCACAAGTGACGACGGCCAAGAAAAAAGAAAATGAAAAGCCACTTTTTGTTGTGCCGTCGTCACTTGTTGTGTGTGGTCTGCACTCGACACTCTTCTCGTTTTCCGAATAGAGGGTAGGGTGGTGTTCCTGTGCTTACAGCTAAGGTATGGCCGCCGTTGAATTGCCTCCTGTAGAGTAATCCTGGTATATCTATCTTATAGAGTTTCTGGTAAGGATTAAGAGTGTGGGCAGGGCGCTTAAATCTGAAATGTCAGTTAACCTTTTTGTTCAAAGGTTTGGCTACAGCAATAAAAGCGCCTCGCCTTGCGTTTTTTTTCTGTATAAGCGCGAGTTTAATAAGTGTGTAATCATCAAAGCGATTAGTATGACCCTGATGACTCTTTTTGCAATGAAGAGATGCCATCATGGTTGTGGGAAAAGTCTTGTTCGATTTCCCACTCGATTCCTCAAACTCGACGTCGGCAATTCATAGCGAACGAATAGCCTGCTTGAAGGCCAATTGGATATATCGAGTGGGCATTTTTCTTCCTCTAAATTTATGCGGTATCCCATTCTACGAAAATGAGTAGAATTTCCCATCTGAGGTTAAAGGGAATTAATCAATCCATTTTCGAGATGCTCTACATATTTGACTGCCACCAGAATCGTAATGGCCTTTTGAGCGCAATTTAGCTTCTACGATGGCTTGAAGGGGGCCCAGCTATGCACAGTGCTATTTTTATATTCTCAGCGGGGTTTGGTACCAATTAACCGATTTTGAAGGTACAGAAGGCTATATTTTTATGATTGTTCCAGCTCAAGCGGTACAATATTCTACAGTTGTTTTAAAAAATTCATCTAAACCTCTAGAAATATTTTCTAACATTCAGGGCGGAGCGCGAAGAGGAAGAGCACAAGAAAACCTTCAAATGTATGTATTTGTGGCACGATGCGTGGCGTATCACTTTAACGCAAAACAACCGACGGATATGGCCCGACGTCAGGTGAAGGTCACGAAGCAGGACCTTTCCCGTATTAAAGAGAGGTGCTAATTTCAAATTCTAAATTTTTCTTCCTATTCTTTCCTTTAGTGTCTTTTATTCTTAATAGTCAACTAAAATATGGTGCCAAAATATGCCGAAGTCCACATCTCACTATTCGACTTTTCAGATTTCAAGCCTTTTTAAAAGGTGAAACGAATATCGCCACGGACGAGGCTTTTGCAAAAGCAATGCACAGCTATTGCGAGGTTTGTCATAACTTCTACCGGCTTGCAGTTGAAGAAAATACTGGAAATATGAGAGAACGAATAGAATTTTGGTGTGAGCAAGAGGGTGCAGCACCAGGTCCGGAATGCTGGAATATGCTTTTTGTGTTGCTGATCTGTTGTTAGCGAAGCTGCTGGGACATGAGCCCAACTTCCGATGTTGCGAGGGAAACGTTGTGGCGTGAAGTAAATTTAAAGGCACAGGTCGCGATCGAATAGGTGTTTTTCTGTTCGAATTAGAGATACGAAGAGGACTGTCAGTAACGAAAACAGCAAAAGGAATCATAGAGAACACTGAAATCAAGGACCTCTTTGACTCTGAGAGTTTGACAGTGGTACGAACGAAGACACAGTTGGCTAGGAGGCAGAGTCAACCCTGCGTTGCGCAGTTCTCAACGGCCACGTTGCGCAGTTTCGCCCGATTAGACACGTTCTCTCGCGCGAACATTCACACTCGCATGCTCGAGCCGTCTGTGTCTCCGCCCATACAGCGTGCGTTGAGGATCTCTCAACGTGCCGTTGCGAACTGCGCAACGCAGGGTTGACTCTGCTAGGAGGGAATGCGCGAGGGAGTGTAATGCAAGAGAAGACGCGTACAGCGCGCGTGCTGCGATCGAGTAAAAATGGAAGGGTCCAGAAAAACGGATTTAGCACCTTGTTTTACACGTCAGAGTCGACACGGCTCCCATGTTTAAACGCCCTGTTACCCTTCTTTCGGGAAAAATTCCTCTAGGGATCCAACCAGGATTAGCGCCTCTGAGGAAAATGAGTATGATGGGATGATTTGGTGGAAAACCGATGTTGGTTTCATTGGCATTGGAGCTAGACGTAGTACACTTTTGACACTCTGTCATAACTTCTTCTCTTCACCTGTGTTCATAAAAGTCTACAAATCAATCTCTTGCAGGTTTTCCTCAAATCGGAACGGGTTCAAAAAGTGGTTGCTGCCGGTGGATTTTCTATGCATGACTTTCGAGAGGTAATTCTTCTACCTTACCCTTCATATTCTCTATTATTTTACATTTATGTTAATTTGTTGTAAATTTACAGTCTATATTGCAGTCATTTTTGATATTTATTATCAGCTTCTCGATTTGTTCTACCTTAATATACTTGTATATTTCTTTATATTTCCTCGATATATTCGTTCATGTATTATGTTTACTCACAAGGCAATTTTAAGGTTTATTCAGCGATCTGTAACGTCGAAATCGGATTCGCTCGCCTGCAGATATTGAGGCCTATCCATAATACTGTACTGAGCTCTTGGATGACAAAGTTCGACACAATCACCAAAGGGGACGAAGAAACACAAGGACGTACTGCAAGGTGGGCAAATGAAATGAGAGCCATAAATCGAGCCGTGACTGAAGAGGCCATTAAAGGCACATTCTGCGAAATGAGCCCTTACTCGGCGGGGTGGATGCTGATTAGATCTTGGGACTATCAACCTCTCCAAAGCTTCTGAGAAAGAAAAAACTGTTGACAGGAATCTTACAAAAAAGTCCGCCTCATATACCACAGAAACGATTACCTTGGGGCCCCTAGCCTCGGAACATAAGCGTTAGTTTCGATAATACTAATCCTACACACGACAGACAATGATCACTCTTTCCGTGGAAGATTTCTTTAAGGTATCGTTTTCTGTGGTAATGAAGGCGGAGCTTTTTCCGTGGAAGATTCCTTCAAGGTAATGTTAATGTGTGCATAAAGAGGAGGGAGTGGGCGACGGCGTCAGTGAGCTATCACCACTTTTCACACAATGTGTAACTGGTAGCACAATTGCCCGTCAGCAAATGATCCCTTACAAATCCCGGCTTGGGCGAAATTTTTGCCTATAACTTACATTCTTACAATACCGCTACTAATTTTTGTTCAATCGACGAAATGCGACGCAGTCAGTCCGTCGCAACCGTCGCCTCGCCATAACTCGTGAACAAATGGATTAGGTCATTCGAAAGTTATACCACTGGATAGCTCTGCTCACGAAGAATCCAACGGTTTAGAGGACTATTGAGTTCTCTGAATTTTCGCTTCATTTTCATGAAATTTATCAAATTACCTGAGGCTGACTCATTAGCGAGCGTCGCTCGCTATAATTATAACCAGAGGGGAACAGATATTAATAGTACTATTTAGCGAGTAATAAAGTTATTATATTACTCCTATGTACTGTTGTGTTCTTCAGATGGTGCTCGTCATTTTGATACCGAATTCATCCCAGGTGGGTCAGCTTTGTTGAATGTCATTTTTGCATGGAAAAGCTCCTTTGAGCCGAAGTATAGTGAAAACTAATAGGATCTGAGCCTTGTCACTTAACGTTCCTTTTCTACAGAGCTCACCCCATTGACGAGAAGTTTTTGAAGTTCCTACCTAGCACCGGCTGTCAATTTCGAGGTCTTGAATCAGAGAGAAATTCACATTTTTTCATGGAAAGAAAACAGTACAAAAAGTATACCATTGAAATCCTCGGGAAAAATGCTTTACATTAATATGAATTTCAAGTCACAAAATTCTCTATGCTTTTTCGAGTTTCATCGCGGCCATCTCTCCTGCACTAAACCATTCTACCTAATTAGGCGTCTCGCCGAGCCGCTGACCTCCAGATCTCTCTCAATTACCAGAGGGCTTTTGTCGCACCTCAAGATCAACGAGAGAATGGTAGGACTGCGTTATTTTTCTATGAACAGCAAATCATCGAACTTAGCTAATTCAAAATAGATCACTGTGTGCCACGTTTCTGTTGGGAGGTCATAGTGTGCCTCACTTACTATAATATTATTACCAATCGTGACCCACTGAGTGAAGGATGACTCAAATAAGAACGAAGGTCAAAGAAGGGGAAAATTGCATAGTTGGGAGAAGGCGGACCTTCTGAGGGTGCGACCGACGCGCAATTGGCAGCGAAAGATTTGACCTCGGCGATCTAGCATGGCTCACTCTTGGCGCAGGTTGGCGGGTACGCCCACTGACAATCTAGACAAGTCTGGTACCAATTAACCGACCCCGGATTCGAAGGCTTCGAAATTGACAGCTGGTGCTAGGTAGGAACTTCAAAAACTTTTCGTCAATGGGGTGAGCTCTGTAGAAAAGGAACGTCAAGTGACAAGGCTCAGATCCTATTAGTTTTCACTATACTTTGGCTCAAAGGAGCTTTTCCATGCAAAAATGACATTCAACAAAGCTGACCCACCTGGGATGAATTCGGTATCAAAATGACGAGCACCATCTGAAGAACACAACAGTCTCTTTTTTCACTTTACATAGGAGTAATATAATAACTTTATTACTCGCTAAATACTACTATTAATATCTGTTCCCCTCTGGTTATAATTATAGCGAGCGACGCTCGCTAATGAGTCAGCCTCAGGTAATTTGATAAATTTCATGAAAATGAAGCGAAAAATTCAGAGGAACTCAATAGTCCTCTAAACCGTTGGATTCTTCGTGAGCAGAGCTATCCAGTGGTATAACTTTCGAATGACCTAATCCATTTGTTCACGAGTTATGGCGAGGCGACGGTTGCGACGGACTGACTGCGTCGCATTTCGTCGATTGAACAAAAATTAGTA